AATTTACGTGAATTCAATTAAACTTCATTACATGCAATACAAAATAATATGAAAACAGTAATAACTAATAATAATAACAATGAGTAATAAATAATAATAAATTTAACGTTGCTTCGAATTATATTAATAAAATATTGAAATGTTTCAAATTCATATTTAGCTATATTCAGAATTCATTATATTTCTTATTTATTTAATGAAAATTTATTGTCAATATGTTTTGCTTCTATTTTAAATTAATTTTATTCTGAATTTTTTTTTATTTCTCATAAAATATACTAAGCTTATACGAAATTCTAAAATTTAGCTTACAGCATTTATATTCTATAATACTATTTGTATTATTTGGCAGTAATTTTTGTAATCTCAACACATAACCTACTATATAAATATTGACTAAATATAAATAATTTTAATAACAACATCTTATAAAAATATTTATTTAACTGGTAATAATTGAACTACGAATGTCATTATATTTATTGACTAATAATCTACTTAGATTTTAATCAGTCATTAATATTATTTTCATAAAAAATCAAGTGTATGTGTAACTGTAGTATATATATATATATATATATATATATATATGTAGGTAATTAACTATTAATTTACTACATGAAAAAAAAATTTTCCCGTGGTATTAAATATGTAAGAAAAAGAGGTCTTTTTTATTGGGCATGAAGTATGACAAAAACTGTTACACGACATCAATGTACATTTTATTTTATATGATTGTTAATTTATAAATTCGTATTAAACGATTTATAATACAAATCAAGTATATATTTCACTAACGGACTTTGTCATGTTTCAAAAAAAAAAAAAAAAAAAAAAAAAAAAATCATTAAAATGAGTGAGCAGATGAAATTAGTATTAATTAGTAAATTAGATTCGGTTCCATTTAAAAAATTCTTACATTTCACTTAACATTAAATTTGAAAAATAATTAATTTCAACTGTTGATAATATGTAAATAAGTGGAAATATATAAAATACCATTTAAATATATATATTTTTTTTGTTTAATAATTCTACAATTTTTAGATTTTTAATTATTTTAATAATTTGGAAAAATCTAGGGGCGTAATATCGCTGCTACCTTATTAATAAATACGTATGACCTCATCTTTATTTTATAATGCGTACATTTAGTTTTATATTCTGAACTTATCAAGGGTATGTGAGAGATAAGAAATATTACTATATATTCACACGACAAAATTCATACATTATTATTAACCTTGAATGATAATATCAGATATAAGTACGTCACGAATATATTCAAATTCTAATTGACCTGAAACAATATCATAATCTAATTATGTTAAAAAATATTTTTATTTGCGAAAAATTCAATTCAAGAAGCTTACGGCAAATGACATTTGCAAAACATATAAAATTATTATTATTATTATAACAGATGGAAATAATTCACTAATTATGTACAAATGCATTAATCAAATCCCATAATTTCTTTGTTTGCACTAATACATTTATTATCATTAAAATTTATATCGCAACTATCAAAAAATCATTTTTCCATTGACAAATATTGTATTACACATTGGAATAAAAACATTGAAATAATAATTGATATCGTAATAAAAATATACATACATACTTTCTCTACCTTTTTCAGAGTTAATATATGCAATCCAGTAAAACTTGCAGGACTTTTTCCATAATATACAACGTCGAAACCGAATAGTCATACAAAAATATTTCTGAATTGTTATTTAGACATTGATAGTACATAGATAGCCAGATTATGTAATGCAATTGACACGATTTTGTTATTTAATTATAAATAATCTTTATTATCTAAAATAACAGAATGGATCGATAGCTTTCAAACTATAATCAATTTATCTTACAATATTTTGATGAAATCATTTTAAAACATATTTATTTCTCAATACTTTTCACTAAATTATGCCAATAAAAGCTTTTATAAATTAATCTAATACTTCTAATTTTAATTTTATTGAATAAAAACTAGTTATTTTGTTATTCGTAAATAAAAAAACTAACTATTTTATGTGCGCATTATATGGCTGTCGATATAAAATAATCTATTATTACTTTTATAATAAAGTTGTTAATTAATTAATGAAATTTATAGTATTCTTTATGGTTTTTAACTCATATTGAATATATTGAAGTTATGCGAATGTTAGTTTCAGGATCACTGAAATAATTTTTGAAATAGATAACATAATGAATTTTATTTATAATGAATTACATATTACAAAAAGGTAAATGTTTACATATTAATTTGCTGAAAATATTTAATAAGACTGAGAATTTATATAAAATGAGCAGAAATGGGACAATCATCTATACTTTATGCTCTTTGCAAATGTTCAATTGAGTTTGTCGCTGTAACATTAATTTTTCAATTATTCAATCGAAAATTCAAAGACGATCATCTATTTATTTAAATATATTAAGTAAATATTCGAAAAAATAAGCTACTGCATTAGTTGAATTTCGTCATAATTTCTAATGTTACAACAACTTTCAAAATGAAAATTCTCTCTCTCTCTCTCTCTCTCTCTCTCTCTCTCTCTCTCTCTGTCACTGTATCTCTATCTCTCTATCTCTATCTCTATCTCTATTTATTTTCTACCAATTTATTTCTATTCCATCTTCATTCTATCTGTAAAATTTATTCGTTAAACTATAATTTTTCCTCCCTGCAGATCATAAAAAAAAAAATGTGGAAATAATATAGTCATAAAGATATTTTATGCAAATTTAAGTATAAAATTTTTTTTTAAATAAAATTATTAATTTCATTTCATATATCGCAATAATTATACTATAAAATCTAAGTTGATTTTTTGTTCATAATAAACTTGTGTATGTATAAGGTATTTTATGTAATATGTTTCTTATAGTATTGAAAAAACAATTTTATTAGAAGTTAATCTTTATTAGTTGAAAAGTGATAGGAATATAGGAACTAAAATTTTTACTTAAAAAATTACACGACATCAATAAATACATTTTGGAATAACAATATTTCAATAAAAATTAAAATAGGTCTTTAAAAAAATGACTAAAAATTCTATGTATGTAAATAATATTTTTTAACATAAAATATTTTATTGAAACATTTATTATAGTATTTTTCATATTTTTATACTATACTTAGGAGAAAAAATCGTACGATAGAAAAATAGGTAATGAACATTACTATTTTCAATAAGATAATAGAAACTGTAATATGTTTTTATTCATAATATAATTCAATTACCAACATTCTTTTGTTCAACGATCGTAGGAATCCAATGAATATGTACTTAATGAATATGTACACAAATTTCTTTCGATAAATGAAAAAAAACTTATACGTACAGTATAACGTATAGTAACAACGTTTTTCTAACTAAGTAAAATCATTTGAAAAAAATAAAAATAAAAAAAAAATTTCACAGTTTTAGCGAATGAAATTACTTTCTAAATACAAGATGCATTTATATTATGTTTGTTTAAGATATCGTGAAATTTTTTATATTGATAATATACCATGCGTGATAGGAGACAAAACTGAAATAAGTAATTATAAAAAATAATATTGTACCAAATATAAGGAAACTCAACATTTAATATTTGCAAATAATAATAAACACGATTTCATTGCACCCAATGTATAAATAAATTGTATAGATAATCTTAACGATTACGCTCTATTCTTAAAATTAAGTCTTATCGTTACTTTTATTGATGTGAGTATATATAATAAATAATATATAGTAGCTAATATTTTTCGTTTCCGTTAGTTCTAGTAAATTAAGATTAAAGAATTTTTAATTTAAATTGTCATTAAATGATATTTTGCATAAACTACTAGCATATCGATTTTTAAATGCCGACTATTATTTACCATTTGTTTTATTGCATTTTTATGACCGGATCTATTAATCATTATCTAATCATAATCATAATCATATATTGATTTTTAAATGTGAATTTTTTCAAAGAATCTATTATAGAGTAAAAATAAAACAAAAAATAGCTTCATGTTATTTTGCTTGAATTTAATTGTTTTTAATATGTGATAGGAGTTTATTTGATAAAGTTTTAAGTATTGATAATTTATATTAGGCTTATTGACTTCTTTATTAATCGAATAAAATATTTATATCGATTTTTATGCTTTCCATTTCACGTAGTTATCCTAGATATTTTTAACCGAGCAGCATATAATTGGCTTTAAATATTTAAAAAGAAATTACATTCATAACTAATTAAATTTGTAAATATCTATAAAAAAAAAAAAAAATAATAATAAATAAATAAATAAAAAAGAGACTAGAAAAATACTCCTCGACAATGCATAAAAGAAATTACGTAAATTAATATCAGTATATATGATCATATATAGATATTCTTGTTTAGGCAAATGAAAGAGCTTAAATAAAAGCTGTAAATAAGATTATGTTTTTATTAATAATATGTAGTTTAGTAAACTGTCAATCAATAGAATATCTTGTAGAATGTATAGTACGTATGATAATATAGTGCTTGCAATAGAATATAATTATCTTTGATGTTTCATCTCGATTAATAATTTGTATGTATTGTCTAATTGAATATTACGAGTATATGTGAAGTTATATTTCATGTACTGGATAGGCCATCTGCCATTTGAAAAGGCAATGAGATCGACGAGAAATGAATAGAGATAAATAATCGTTGAACGGGACGAGGGGAGAGAGAAAATGATAGACCGATGGTCAATCGGTGTGATTGGAGTGGAGAGAGCGAGTAAATGTCAAAAAATATAACCACTTAACGAGTCAAGCATTCCAACATGATCTGTCATGCAATAAATAAAACAAATTGCAAAGCGTAACAACGAGAGTTTATGACTCAAATGAAAATCTGTCAGGACAAATATAAAATGAAATAAACATTTTGCTCCAATAACTGTAACAATATCCCCCTTTGCGTCCCGTTAACATTACTCACCTATTGATTTTATTTTACAGAGGTCTAGCACTAATTTATGGGGCGACTGGATGGGAGTGATGCACGGAGACGAGATTGAGTATGTATTCGGACATCCCTTAAATTCCACTCTCAAGTATACAGAGAGAGAACGAGAACTTGCAGTCAAAATGATATTGGCTTTCTCGAGTTTTGCGCGACATGGGTATGCTCTTCTTATCTTTTAATACTATAGTTAAATTTCATGTGAAATGGTATTGATATTTTTTTTTTTTTTTTTTTTTTTTTTTTTTTTTTTATTATTTAACACTTTTGTCGTGTTAGTTAGCTTGAAAGTTGAAAAATAGGATATTCTTAAGAGAAATTTCTCTTAAGAAATGACTATACTTTACTTCATATTTTATAATTTAAGTTTCTCCGATATTCAAATTAGTTTTGCTGGGTGGGTGGGTGGATGTGTCAATGCATTATTATTCTTAGCTTATAGCATATTAAGTTGTTTAATTTGATGTAGCATTGTTAAAAAAAAAAAAAAAAAGTTATTCTACCAAATCTTAAATGAAGTAAGAATATACGAAATATATAATGCAAATAACATAATTTGCCGCGGTATAGATGATTATAATTATATATTTGAAAAATACATTAAAGTCAACGATCTTGATTGAAGGTACTCGAGTAATTTTAGATAAAAAGATTTATCTAAAAACAGAGAAAAAAAGATGTGTTTTATTCAAAATTTCATTCGCGTGAATATGTATTAAAATGTAGCAATATATGCGCATAGACGATTTTATTAAAAAATCTAAACGATATTTTACTAGAATTGTAGTTGAGTAAATTGATTATTCATAATCTTTACATTGATAAAGTAATTCGTTTGTTGGAAATTAATGAAACAAATAAAGGAAAATGAAAAATAAAAAAATTACTTAATAGCGATATCATACTATAGAGAATTTATTATTTTACGTCTCTTACTTGAATATTAAAATACAACAAACATATTATCTTCTATAGATTTAATTATATATATATATTTCAGAATTAATACACAATCGTATTTGAAAACAGGGAATTCCACAATAAATTACATGCTCATTGTTAATTCTTGAAAAATATAATACTATTTAATTATTATTTTATATCAATAATAGATTTTATTTCGATAAAATTAAAAATTCAAGAATGAAGGATAAAGTGTGTTCTTACTATTTACATATAACCATGTGAAAGCCTTTCTTAGTACTTAAATAATACTTTAATGCCCTTGATATGATTACATAATTTTTTTCATAATTCATTTGGGAAAAACCAAATTTCATCTAAATTAGTAAATAATGTTAAACTTATAAAAAAAAAATATATATATATATATATATATATATATATATAGCGGTAACGATTTACTTCGTCTATTAAGAAAAATTTGATTAATAATTTATATCAAACGGCATCATTTTTGTCAAAAAATTTTTTAAATAATATACAATATCAATTAAGTATTGCAATATTATTATTAACAATATTGAACATTATTCAATTATCGACTTATGTACAATGGAAGGTAGTTAAGGCACTGATGCCTGTTTAGAATTTCGATCACGTTTCTGCTCTCCTTGTTAGTGAACTTTATAGTCCTCGTGCTATATATACCGACGAGTTATATTTAAGTTGAATTTATTCACTTGTTAATAAAGTTGATCGATTCGATCAAATAATCCGTCATTTTTTACATCAGTTGGATTAATTTCTCTTATAAAATAGCTTTCCGTAGAATTCTTAATAAATTGTTAATATATACTTTTTCGCATAAATTTGTAGAATTATATTCTTGATATAAGCACCACCGAGTAGCTCTTATTACTAATAATTTTTTTTTTTTTTTTTTTTTTTTTTTTTTTTTTTT